TTACCATAATTTGTGGGATGCAATGAAAACATTTCTCAGAGAAAATTGATAGCATTAAACTCACACATTAGGAAAACAGGAAAAGAACAAATATCCTAATGCTCTACCTTAAGCTACTAGAAAAGAAGAGCAAACCAAGCCCAATGTCAAACGATGGGAGGAAATTATAAAGATTAGAGCAGACACCATTGCAATTGAGATGAAGAAAATAATACAAAGCATTAATGATTCCAAAAGTTTGTTCTTTGAAAGATTAAATAAAATTGATAAACCCCTATCCAATCTCATCAAAAATAGAAAAGAAAAAACTAAAATTCAAGCAATAAGGAATGAAAAGGGTGAAATTACCAGAGACCCTGTGGAAATTCTGAAGATCATCAATAGCTATTATGAGAATCTTTATTCTCACAGAATTGCAGACACAGAAGTAATGTATAGATTTGTAGAAAGGAGAAAATTACCAAAACTGAATCAATAATATATAAGAACTCTCAATAATCCAATAACAGCCAATGAAATTCAAAATGTAATAAAAAAACCTACCGACAAAGAAAAGTTCCAGACCTGATGAATTCATAGATGAATTCTACAAGAAATTTGGAGATTTAATCCTAATACTCCTTAAACTCTTTAATGAAATTTAAAAGGAAGCAATATTCCCCAAATCTCTCCTAGCAGTATTATACAGATATTGAAATGAGAGAAAGATCCAACCAAAAAAGAGACCAGACCAATCACCCTCATGAATGTAGATGCAAAAATGCTCAGTAAATGCTAGCAAGTTGCACACAGAAAATCATGAAGAAGATTATACACCATGACCAGGTAGGATTCATCCCAAGAATACAAGGATGGTTCAACATATGCAAATTTATAAATGTAACACACTATATCAATAGAGCCAAAACCAAAAAACACATGAACATATCAATAGATGCAGAAAAAGCATTTTACAAAGTCCAACACTCATTCATGATCAAAGCCCTACATAAAATAAGAATAGATATTGTATACATCAACCTGATAAAAGCCATTTATGACAAACTCACAGCCAATGTAATTCTAAATGGAGAAAAACTGAAAGTTTTACTCTCAAATCAGGTACAAGACAAAGATGTCATCTATTACGACTCCCGTTCAATATAGTTCTGGAGTCATTAGTTAAAGCCATTAGATAAGAAAGAGAAATAAAAGAAATAATAATAGATAAAGAAGTTTAACTATCATTATTTGCAGATGACATGATACCCTACTTGGGAAAACCAAAAAACCCCACCAAGAATCTTGTAGAATTAATAAAAAAATTCAGTATCATAGTAGGATACAAAGTCAACATCCAAAAATCAATAGCATTCTTCTGCACAGATAACAAACTCACTCAGAAAGAAGTTAGAGAAACAACATTCATGATAGCATCCAAAAAATGAAACGTTTAGGAATTAATCTAGTAAAGGAAGTAAAAGATCTATACAATGAAAATTACTAACCTCTAAAAAAAGAGATTGAAGAGGATTTCACAAAATGGAAAGTTATTCCTTTCTACTGGATAGGAAGAACCAACATTGTGAAGTTGGTCATACTCTCAAAATTGTTATACAGATTTTATGCAATTCCCATCAAAATAGCATCAACATACATCACAAACCTAAAGGAAACATTCTTAAAATTTATGTGGAACTAGAAAAATTCTAGAATAGCAAAAGTAATCTTAGGCAACAAAGGTAAGGCAGGGGTTTTACAATCCCTGACTTTCAATTATACTGCAAAGCTACCATGGTAATATCAGCATTGTTTTGGCAAAAAATAGAATGAGGACCAACACAGCAGATTAGTAGATGAAAATACAACTACAAACATGCTCAACCATCTTATCTTCAACAAAGGGGCCAAACATGTTCCCTGGAAGAAAGACAGTCTCTTTAACAAATGGTGCTGAAAAAACTGGCTCTCCACATTCCAAAAACTGAAAGTAGACCGAGGTCTACTATCATGCACTAAACTAAAGTCAAAATAGATTAAAGATCTAAACATTAAAACAGAAACACTAAATCTTCTGGAAGAGAAAGTAGGTAGAAATGAGGACATAGGAGTAGGCAGACAGTTCATAAACAAAAAACAAACTGCATGGGAAATATTCCAAGGAATCAACAGCTGAGATCTCATCTCATTGATAAGTTTCTGCATGTCAAAAGAAATCATCAGGCCAGGGAGCTAGCTCAGTGGAATAAGTGTTTGCCTGGCCAGTGCAAGGTCCTGAGTTCAATCCCTGGTACCACTAAAAAAAAACCCCAAGAAATCACCAACAGAATGAAAAGGCAACACAAAAATTGGGACAAAATTATAACCAATAATCACTAAGACAAAGGACTTCTATATAAATTATATAAAGCACTAAAAAATAAACTCGGCCCCCAAATTTTAAAGACCCAATCCAGAAATGGGCATTTGAGATGAATACATGCTTCTCAGAGGAAGAAATACAAGCGGCAAATAAATACATAAAAAAAAAAAAAGTTCCACAGCACTGACCATTCAAGAAATGAAAATTAAAGCAACACTGAGATACCATCTCATCCCAGAAATAATGGCTATCATAAAGAAATGAATTGATAACAAATACTAAAAAAACTGTGGAGAAAAAGGAACCCTTCTCCACCGCTGGTAGGAATGTAGAGTGGTACAACTATGGAAATCAGTGTGGAGACTCCTAAAAAAAACTAGGACTAGAAATCCCATTCAATCCAGCGATCTCCCTTCTGGGTATTTTCCCAACAAAAATGAAAGCATACCATAATGATATATGTGCACTCATGTTTATAGCAGCACCATTTGTCACAGCCAAATCTTAGAAACAACCAAAATGCTCATCACTTGAGGAATGGATGAAAAAGACATGGTATTTTTGTGCAATGGAGTGCTACTCAGCTATAAAGAAAGACAATCTTGAAGCCTTTATAGGTAAGTGGATGCAATTAAAGGCCATACTCATAAGTGAAATAAGTCAGACTCACATGTGTAAATATTGTATTGTCTACCTAGTGTAAGAACCTGAAAGGGTAAGTAAAACCTGAAAGGTATAATAGATATAGTGAATCGGAAAGAAACTGAATTTAAGGATTAAAAAACAAAGATAAGAGAAAGGAGAAAAGAGGAAAAAAGGAAGGGGAGGAAACATGCAAGCATATATACAGGATGGCTGAGACGATTGTACTAATAATTTCTATCAATTTTTTGAAAATAACAGTTCATGTTTAGAATTTTCACCTTGACTGTGTATACTGGTATCTGTGATCTGAGCAACTAGAAGGACAGCAATGTGTAATAAAAAACCCAAGGTTGACATTGCCAGTTAAGCAGAAGACCCAATACTATTATGGGCTACTGGACTGTTTTAGAATATTTTGCTGAGTTTACACATCTATAATATTCAAATAACGGAACTTAACAAAAAAAAGGTATACAGATGAATGTCCATTTTGTATCTGTGCATTCAAAGTGGTTAGGATAGATATATAGTTACATTCTCTTAATGAATAGAATAATTTGTTCTAATGGTGTTTGTAAATAGGATATCAAGTCTGCATCTTGTACAGCAATTAACCACTAAGAAGAATGTATGCAGTGTGCTAATTATTGAAACTGTCCTAGTGATTTGATTTGAAACTGTCTCATTGCTATTTGTTTATCAATAAAATTATGGCAAAGAAGGCATAACCTAAGAAAAAAAATGGTTGAATACGTCTCATCTTGGTCTTCAAAATGTGTGTCATTTCTAATGTCTTATCAATTATTGTACTCTCTTTAAAATAAATTTTTAAAAAGACAAGGAAAAAATTAAGATTTCTTAAAAGTCTTAATATTCCATTATTTATCCAATCTTCCATAGCTATATCTGTTAATCTGAGCAACAGAGTTTATGATAAAAATAGGTATTATAACAACCACTGTTAATTAGCTATTCCTGTTTTGAAAATCTGTAACATGTATTGTTGTATGTTGCCTAGTTTCTATCTTTTTTTTTTATATTTCTTTTTGTTTCTGATTTTAGTCTTCAAAATCAAATAAAATTAAATTGGAAAAAAAATTTGGAATATTAGAGAGGGAAAATTGTGAGCAGGCAGCAAGTAGCATGCTTTTATAGGCTTCTTACAAGTTTGGGATTCCTAAAGACACCTGAACACAAATTATAAACTTCTGCATGTGAGGGTGCCAGGGGAGAGAAGAAAGCACAAAGGAATCACCAGAGTTTCTCTCTTATGTGTATGATCTTTTTATTGTATTTGAGTTATCTTCTGCTCTAGGTGACAGCTTCAATCCACCTCATAAATAAACCAGTTCAAAAATCTCCCTCTTCTCTCTGAATCCATGACACTTTTATTTCCCTACAATTTATACTTTTGTCAGAGTAGCTTTTCTTTTTTTTTTTTTGGTGGAACTGGGGATTGAACTCAGACTTTTGCGCTTGCCAGGCAAGTGCTTATTCCACTGAGCCATCTCCCCAGCTACAATTTATACTCTTGTGATCTTGAGGAAGGACCTAGCAGTTTATTTAAGTGTGGAACCAGTATTAGTTTTCTGTTTTTCATGTGTAATTTTGTTTTTATTTTATCTCTTTTGGACATTATCTTATTGATTGATTGATTTTTTTACTTTGTGAATTTTTTATTTTTATTGATTTTTAAAATTCAGATTCTAAGTTTGTGAGTTCATTTCTTCTATATATTTCTAATTGCTTTTAAGTTAGAACCTATTCATTTACTTTTCATTCCCTTCTGCATCTTCTTACCTTTCCTTGGCAACTGTTTCTTGAACAAAATAAAACCATATATTAGCACCAGGAAGTGGGAATCTCAAACATCTGTATTTATGGTTATAAATGCCTACTCAACTACACTTTACATTGTGAGTGAAGACTGCAGTCCTCCATAAATCTGAGAGAAACAATCCTATCACAATTTTAAAATGTAGCCACTTTGAGTAAGATGCCCACATGAACTTACCTCCCAAATTGCACACAGATCTGCTTTGTGATACAACCATTTTCCATTCTTATCTCTAGGATAAAATTCCTTTCCTGGCTGCAAAAGAACAAATCAAAACAAAATACAAAGAATACATTTTAGATCTAGGAATTAAAGTCATGGAATTTGCTATCTATATAACCTGGAGTTGGGAAAATAGTTCAAGTCTATTTTTTTAAGTTTATATAATTGTATAATAAATATTATATATGTGTATGTATGCATACATTTTTCTACATAATGATCACATACAATAAGTATATAACTGGACCAGTGAGATAGCTCAGCAGACTAAGTGCCTGATTAGGCAAGCTCAGGGATTGTGGTTCAATCCCTGGCACCACATGCCATGCCAGCCCCTCCCTCAGGGTGGGCACAGCTGGCTACAGAGTCCAGGTTAGTGGTGTACACGTGTAATCCCAGCGCCGGGAAGGCTGAAAACAGGAGGATCACTATGAGTCTAAGCTGCATGGTGAGACCCTGTAACAACCAAGTAAATTTTAAAAAATAAGTATATAACTATGTACAGTAGTATGATAGTAATAATAAAAATTAATGAAATCTCCCATCTCCATTCCTGTGTGATGTCTAAGAATTCTTTCACTTACCCACTAGGTGTAATGTACTAGCTTTATTATCTTGCTTAGAGTTTATTTTGAGTGAAAGTTTTATTTATTATTTAATTTTTAAACTTTGTTTTAACTTTTTTTCAGAAAGGGCCTCACTATGTAATTAAGTCTGGTCTTGAACTCCCTATGTAGCACAGGCTGGTTTTGAATTCAGTGTTCCTCCCACCTCAGCCTTCTAAGCGAACCCATTTCAGGTGTGCATCACCATGCCTGGCACTATTTTCTTTTGTTTAGTGGCAGGATATTGTTCTTAAACCATGGAGTTATATGTTGACAAAATTGTCCTTGTTAGAAGAGAGTAGTGGTTAAGAACTGGACATTGAGGGCCGGGGAGGTGGCTCAGCAGAATAAGTGCTTCCCTGGCAAGTGCAAGGGCCTGAGTTCAATCCCCGGTTCCACCAAAGGGAAAAAAAAAAAAAAAAGAACTGGACATTGCATCTGATTTCACTTATCATTTTTAAAAGATCACTGTGACTACTTTGGTAGGGATGCAATTGGGGAATGTTATTGGTTAGTTTATTTTCTTCTAAAAAGATATTGAAAATTTAGCTTTCAGTACCTATGAATGTTAATTTCTTTGGAAATAATATCTTCCCAAATGATTAAATCAACACTAGGCTGTTAGGGTAAGCTTGTCACATAGGCAAGCCCCATGTAGCTTCTGTGTATTTGCCTGTCTATTAATTCTTCACTGTAGAATAAGGTCCATTACCTTAAATACTTGCCCCAACTTACAGTTTTATGCATGCATATAGAAAAATTGTTCAAGCAAGTGGAAATTCGCCATTTAGAACCAAAAATATTCACTCAAAGTCTTCTGGCTACCAACTCCAAGCTTTGCTGACTCCTCTGCTTCATTGTGACCTGGACTCCCCATCCTACCATGCTAAGCAACATCACCTCTATGTTAAAAGTGCTTCTCTGATCTTTCTTTCTCCTCTTCCAAATGGTGTTCCTCTCTCCACCATAAGTCCCTAAGGGTTTTATGCTATGAAGTTTCATAACCATGTCCAAATGTCACCCAATAATGCTTACTATCTCATATTTGTCTCTTTCTCTTTGGTAAGTTCATAAATCCCTTGAGCCCTCTACAGGGTCCTAATAAAATATGACTGTGTCCTTACCTCAAAGAAGAAATTTTGGATCCAGACACAGAAATTCACAGAATGCAAACACCGTGTAAAGATAAAGGAAGAGAGTGGAGTGATACTTCTACTAACCAGGGAAATCAAAAAGGTTTCCAGGAAGTAATAAGAAACTAGGAGAAAGGCATGGAATCTTCTAGCCTGGAGAAGAAACTAACCCTGCTGACAACTTAACATTGGATTTTAGCCTCCAGTACTATTAAAAAATAAATTTGTGTTGCTAAACAGTTCAGTTTGGGGCATTTTTTTTAACAGCAAGCATGTGAAATTAATACAATGCATAAATGTGGAAACACATAAAATAGTTTAATATTCTGTTGTAGGAGCTATAACTTCCCTGGTACCCTGATCTGAATATTATTTCCCTAGTGTAATAATATGTTGAAACCTGATCACCAGGGTGACAGTATTGTTTGAAGGTAGGGCTTTTGGAAGGTGATTAGATTCGGAGTGCTCTGCCTTTGAGAATGGGATTAATACTCTTGTAAAGAGGCTTGCCCTTCCACCATGTAAAGATACATGGAAGGTGCCATCTATGAGGAATGGGCCCACCCCAGGCACAGAATCTACACCTTGATCATGGACTTTCCAGTTTCTAGAACTGTGAGCAGTGATTTTCTGTGATGTATATTATTCATTCTAACTGATTTTATTTTAGCAGCCTGATAGACTAAAACACCATCCTCTCGGTGTTATTACCTTTCTGTGTGTGCTGCGGTTTGCCTAACCACAGCCAGCTGGTACTTGAATCCAGTTGTCAGAAGATAGAACTCAGAGTGTTATAATGTTTGTCTAATCACATGGGATGTGCCCAGAAATTTACACCCACTTGGGGTAGCACATAATTATGGTTGCAAATTCTTGTTTCTTGATCAAATAATTCTGAAATGTGGCTATGATAAGACGCTACCAGAACATTCAGTCCAAGTTGGTTTCACAGGACTTTGTTTTCTACTGTACACCTGCTTAGTTTTATTCCCCAGTTACATCTTCCCATACCTCTATCAGTTTTTCCTGGTTATACTTCATACTAATTCACTTTCATATGCATTTTTCTATCTCCAAGTTTATTTCTTGGAAGCTCAGAGGAAGAAGCTATTGCAATTGATGAGAAGTGATAGTGCTCTGGACTGAGGCAATAGGAGCAGAGATAAAAAGAAAGGAATCAATTAAAATGTAAAGTGAGACTAGAGCCAAATGTATCTTAATAATGGCTAGGATATATAGAGGGATGGTAATGAGGGACAAAGAGAAATGAAGCATGCCTCTTAGCTCCTTGGGTGGACTTTGGTAATCATTTCTTCATGTTAGGGCCAAAAATTGAGAGTATTGTCTTCACTTTCTTTTATTAATTGCTAAAGATCAAATGAAGGGATTCACACATGTGAGGTAAGCAGTGGACTATATCATCTGCCCCTGTTTTAACTTTGAAATGACTGTAAGACATGTGAATGGGTTTTTGATGAGGTAATCCAATGAAGAAGCCTGAGACTCATAAAGAAGCTACAGATTAAACCTGTGAATCATCTGCCTGTAAAATGGTATTAAGTATATGTTAATCATAAATACAAGGAATATAGTTAGGAAGACAGGGACATTGAGGGGAAAGGATGGATGTAATAACATTTGAAGGTTGGCAGAGAAGAAGCTGCCAACCAATCACAGTGTTATGCTAGAAACCAAAAGAAGTAAATGTTTAAAGAAGGTAGTTCCTTTGCAATGGAACACACATCTCTGACAAAGCAAAACAACAAAGGTGGATAAGTTGGGAGCTATGGAAGCTAGGAAACCTATCAAATGTGTGTAAGCAGGAGTAGGCCTCAGTGTCTAAAGCAAGCAAGCTACCTCAGTCCTGAGGTAAATATCCTGTCTGGTTAAAGTCAGTGATTAGTCACTAGGAAATCTTGTATCACATGTTACTAACTTTGCAAAAGTATAAATAAAATACCATTTTGTTGTGAAAAAAATGTATATGCAAGCACAAGATAGGATAGATATGCAGCTACTTTCTCTTAGTTCATTGAGAAAAGAGGTTTGTACTAATATTGCTTAGATGAGAAATCATGTGTACATCTTGTCCTCTGAATAACTACTATGAAGACAATATGCAATGTATTAATTATTGTAACTGCCCTACTAATGTATTTTGAATCTGTTTCATTGCTATTTTATCTTTTTCTTATTAAAATGAATAAAATAATAAATAAATATATAAATATTTCCTAAAAAATAAAGTAGTTCCAACCAATTGTGGTCTTTGCACTTAAAAGAGCTGAAGGAACATTATAATAAACTTTATCTTAACTTTTCCACAAGAACTTAATGGAATTGCTGTGCTATGTATTTGTCTTCTAGAATCCACATCTTGGTAATTTATCCCCTATTTCAATAGTGTTGGGAGGTGGGGAGTAAAGGAAATCATTTAGGTGCATGTATTAATGCCATTATGGAAAAGGCTTCTGAGAGTAGGCTTGATTTCTTGAAATCTTTTTGTATTTAACTTTGCCATACACTGTCCCAGAAAAAAAAAGTCTCTTTCCAAAATATTGATTGTTGATGTCCCAATATCCAGAACCATGACGCAATAAAATTCTATTCACTTTGTGTTACTGTTTATATTTAAATGACCTCAAAGCCTTGTATAATAAAAGGTGGGGGAGTTCATATATGTTGGACTTAGGGTATGTGAGTATGGATTAAGGATGTGGTAAATGGAAACTTTCCCTGCATGTGAGTGACATCAATCAATAGGCTAGTATTCTGTATAAAATATAAAGGGACAGAGGAAAGCAGGCTTGCCTTGGCTGCTCATTTCTTGCTTCTATATGCCTACAATGCCATAAACTGTTTCTCCTCTCTGCCATGTAATGTTGCCTTAGTGCCAAGTGACTATTGGCTGAAAATTACAAACTGTGAGCCGAATAAATCATTCCTCCTTTAACTTGTGTTAGGTATTTTGCATGAGCAATGAGAAAAGTAAGAGAGATTTTGTTATGAGAGAAGTGGGATCATTACTGTCATGTTCTCTGGTCATGTGGTTCAGAAGCCTTTGGAACTAGCTAGGGAAGAGGTTTGGAGATGTCAGCCAGAGAAGCAGCCCTAGAATACTGTAAACTGAACTTGAGATATTTTGGTAAGAGATAAGGAAGCTAAAAGTTGTAGAAACTGTTATGGCTTGTGTCTAGTTATTCCCCAAAAGGCTCAAGCAGTCAAGGGTGGGCTTTTCCAGAAGTGGCTGAATCTATAGCATATGATATTGAGATTAACACTAGGGTTGTGCTTT